ACATAGTTGTCTATCAGTAGATTGATTCTAGTTCCTTCAAAATCTTACGAGAATAAGATCTGCTATATACATGGTATATTTGGTTTCTCAATTCTGAATAGGTCACCTAATCTGAAAGAATTGTTTCTCTTTTATCTTTATTCTTTTGAATAAATTTTATTTAGAAAAATTTTAATTCCTGCAGCTATGGCTCGACATTTATTCCCTGTGCAATTAAAAATAACTTTTTTTACTGCGACTGAATTGCCTGAAATGATGACTGATTTTTTAGCAACTGTTTCAAAAAAAATTCTTCAATCAGACACATGGGAACCAGCTGATCCTTACGTTGAGATTACGTATGATGCAATGACAGCAACAACAGAGGTTCGTAATGGTACAACACCTGTTTGGGGTGAAGCACTTTATTTAATTGGACGTTTTCCACCACTTATACGAACAATTAAAATAGCTCTTAAAGATCGTACAGCTATTAAAAAAGATCGTATTATTTCATCATTTTTTATTGATCTTTTTTTAATAAGTGAAAGTAATCCATCAGCTGGTTTTTTACCAACATTAGGTCCAACATGGATGTTTTTATATGGAAGTCCAAGAGAATATACAATAAGTAAAGATAAAGATGGTCTTAGCGAAGGAATGGGTGAAGCTGTCTGTTATAAAGGACGACTACTTATGGCTATTGATTGTCATGCAGTTAGTGGAGAAAATACATCAAACATGAATGTACAAAAAGAAACTGGTATACAATTTCCTGAAGAAGTAAATATTATTGAAAGATTTTCTAATTTAGTTACATTGATATAATTTCAATAAATTCTTTTTCTTTTCATAGCATATATTTCCAATGAAACGTTCATTTCTCTTATTTGGTTGTATTTATGATGTCAGTATGATTGATAAATCATTTGTTAGTAGAACAATTTCTTTTGAATTAAGTATTGGTTCAAGTGGATATTTAAATCCACAACAATTAACTACTGCAATTAATAATCCTGTTTCATCATTAACATGTGCTTATCCACGTGTTTCAATTGATAATAATAAAGGTTATTTTCGTTTACCAATTAATTTACAAAAACCAATATTATTTACAAAATATATATTTCATGATTATATTTATCGTATGACATTATCAAATCGTCTAAAAAATGCATCTGAATATTTGGTATTGATTTTCAAAAATTCATTTAAGAAAGTTTTTGTTTTTTATTTTATTTTTAGTATAAACAAATTCGTGAATTTGAATCGAAAATTAATTCTAAAGTGTCAAATGAAATTCTCATGAAAGAATATAGAAAAATCGAACATTATGTTCATACATTACCGTGTGGATGTGCTGAAAAAACAAACGATCATGAAAATTCAGGTATTACATCTGTAGTTCATCCGACTTTATACGAATTATTAGATTCTCCTTCGACAAATATTAAGATAAATCAATTAGATATTAAACGGCATAAAAAGATTCTTAACAATATGCAATCAATTAAAGCCTGGGTTTCAAAAGAAATTAACTTTGATGAATCAAAACGATATGAAATCGTTAAAGAATTAAATAAAATAGCTCGTGCATTTCGGCAAATGGCTACTGATGTAAATATAATTTAGACAAGAAAAGAAAAGGATAAAATTATTTTTCTTTTTTCTTTTTTTTTGAAAGGCACAACCATCTTTACCTGATATATTTTTATGGATGATATGTGACTCAAAACGAGTAGCTTATGCACGGTTTCAACCTGAAGATATTTTTTTTAATTTATGTAAAGGTGAAAAAGGTTTATATAATGGTCGTGTACAAACTATTTTTCTTAAAGTTTGTTACCATTCTTATTTCTTTATCCTGACAAAAAAAAATATAATTATAATTTATTTTCAGACATCATATTCAACAGATAAACCACAAAATTCATCAATAAATGCGAAAGTACAAATCTATCTTTGGCTTGGAATTGAAGAATATGAACCATTGATATTTACACACTTACCTGCTGGTTTTGATATGCCACCATTACCATTACATCCTCAATCGAAATTTATAAGATATAATGGTTAGAAATCAATAGAGAGCTGAAAAAACAAATCGATAAATAAATACCATAAAATATGCCGTAGTGAACACTTCACAGTCCGACTAACAAGAAAGCCTCCTCAGATATCACCTTTCGATTTCAATGATGTTTTACCTTTAGATACTACATGGTGTTCTAATGAAAAATCTAAAA